TCATTTTCGGCTGTTAAAATAATTGTGGGACACCCTGTATATATATTCATTAAAGCTACTGTGCTTTATTCAGTTTATTCTTTAATAGAAGTTTATACTATAATAAAAATTTTCATTGAAATATTTTTATTTTAATCAGTAACTGAAAATATCTAGAATATTTGTAAAGCATAAAATGGCATACGGCCGCTCCTACCGCTTATCGTTGCAGCTATGTGGGAACTTTACATTTCAAGAGCGAGAGAGAAAGACTCACATTTGCGCGAAAGGTCATCACTCCATCATCGGCGGAGACCTTCTGTATAGAGTCCATCTCTACACTATTAGAGATTGGCGGAAACCCTCTAATAAAAGACGTACAATGAGGGTAAAATTAGGTCGTTAATCGATACGTGTACCAGAAATAATTTATATGGTCTATGGTAGCGATTTTAAGACTTGACTTGCGTTTTTTGATTGATATTACTGATACATATGGCAATACAGCAATGGGCTATAGCTTGATTTGTTTACTCTAATTGGCTGACAATTCATTACTGAGACAGGATCTCCCGCGGATTGGATACACAGGAAAATGGCGGAGATGCTTGCAAAAGTTCTCGAATATAGAAAAATCATGTAAATCCTAAGGTATTGCTGTGTATTCGAAGCTGACCATAGGCAGTTATAAGCAGTAGTAACCTGCGTAATTTTAGTTTCTCCTAACTACATCAAAACTTTGTGATCTGCTCGTATCACTTACTTGTACCATGTTCGAGTCCCTCTCAAGCTACAAAAATTTATATTTTAGCTACTTTTGTTATTTTGTCGACGTTAAAATCAGCCACTTACAGGCGATGATAAATAATAAATATATTTCTGTAACTTCTATGGAAATTATGAGCTATTAGTATGTACAGTGTAGATAATTACATTTAAGAAAATACACAATTTTAATAAAGAATGAATCCTTTCTTTATGTTATATGAAAATAGTAAATAAACGATGTTTTATTACATATATTACAGTATTTCTTGTTTCTATATTTACTATATACAATCATATGTTGCNCACTTACAGGCGATGATAAATAATAAATATATTTCTGTAACTTCTATGGAAATTATGAGCTATTAGTATGTACAGTGTAGATAATTACATTTAAGAAAATACACAATTTTAATAAAGAATGAATCCTTTCTTTATGTTATATGAAAATAGTAAATAAACGATGTTTTATTACATATATTACAGTATTTCTTGTTTCTATATTTACTATATACAATCATATGTTGCT